GGTGGGGCCGCTGGCCCGGGACCTGGGGCTCAGCGCCGACGAGCTGCCGGCGCGCAAGCTGCGGCTCAGCGCGGACAAGCAATACTTCACGGTGAGCGAGGAGAACGGGAACCTGTACGTGAGCGAGAGGCTGGACCGGGAGGAGCTGTGCGGCGAGTCGTTGTCCTGCTCGGTCAGCTTCGAGGTGCTGGTGCACAACCCGCTCAACGTTTTTCCTGTCGAGGTGTCCATCCAGGACGTGAATGACAACTCTCCTACCTTCAGGAAGGCTGTTTTGGAACTAGAGATTGGTGAATTGATCCCTCCCGGTGCTCGTTTTCCCCTTGAGATGGCCCAAGATGCAGACGTGGGCAGCAATTCGCTGCTGACTTATGAGCTCAGCAGCAACCCGTCCTTCTCTCTGGCCATGAAGGACAGTCAGGACGGAAGCAAGCCTGAATTAGTGCTGGAGAGAGCGTTGGACAGGGAGAAGCAGAGCTCCTTTGAGTTGGTGCTGACAGCGGCTGATGGGGGGGACCCCGTGAGGTCCGGGACTGTCCAGATTCGGGTCAACGTGACGGACGCCAACGACAATCCGCCCGTCTTCTCGCAGGACCGGTACCGGACGAGCCTTCGCGAGGACACGCTGCCGGGTTCGGAGGTGTTGAAAGTGTCAGCCTCCGATGCCGACGCCGGCACCAATGCTCATATCACCTACAGATTGGGGGAAATGCCGGATAAGGTGCTTCGGACATTTGTGGTCGATGCAGACAGTGGGTCCATCACGCTGCGGGAAGGTCTGGATTTCGAGGACATGCGGACTTTCATCCTGGACGTGGAGGCAAAGGATGGTGGCGGTCTGGTGGCGCACTGCAAGGTGGAGGTGGAGGTGCTGGACGTGAATGACAATGCGCCCGACATCGAGATCCTGTCGCTGTCGAGCCCCGTGCCTGAGGACGCTCCAGCGGGCACCGTGGTGGCTCTGCTGAAAATTCGGGATCTGGACTCCGGCGAGAACGGTGAGGTGTCGTGCGAGCTGTCGGGAGAGGCGCCGCTGTCGATCGTGGCGTCGTCGGGCGGCTCATACAAGGTGGTGACAGCGAGCGCGCTGGACCGCGAGCAGGCGTCCGAGCACCGCGTGACGGTGGTGGCCCGGGACCGGGGCAGGCCGGCGCTGTGGAGCAGCACGGAGCTGGTGCTGGAGGTGTCGGACGTGAACGACAACGCGCCGGTGTTCGAGGAGGCGTCGTACAGCGCGTACGTGCGGGAGAACAACCCGGTGGGCGCGCTGGTGTTGCGCGTTGTCGCTCGGGACTTGGACTTGGGCGCGAACGGGCGCGTGAGCTACTGGCTGTCGGGCGGCAGCGCGGGCGCGTTGGGCGCGGCGCCGCCGGTGTCGGTGGAGGCGCGGAGCGGCGCGGTGTACGCGCAGCGCTCGTTGGACTACGAGCAGTGCCGCGAGTTCACGGTGGCCGTGCGGGCGCAGGACGGCGGGTCGCCGGCGCGCAGCTCGACGGCCACGGTGCGCGTGTTCGTGCTCGACCAGAACGACAACGCGCCGCGGGTGCTCTACCCGCCCCCGCCGGCGGCGTCGGGAGCGGCGCCGGGCTCGGTGGGTTCGGCTTTCGAGGTGGTGCCGCGTTCGGCGTCGTCCGGGTACCTGGTGGGCAAGGTGGTGGCGGTGGACGCGGACGCGGGGCGCAACGCGTGGCTGTCGTACGAGCTGGTGCAGGCGTCGGAGCCGGCGCTGTTCCGCGTGGGGCTGCAGAGCGGCGAGGTGCGCACGGCGCGGGCCGTGTCGGAGAGGGACGCGGCCAAGCAGCGCCTGGTGGCCGTGGTGAAGGACCACGGGGAGCCGGCGCTGTCGGCCACGGCCACGCTGCACGTGGTGCTGGCCGAGAGCTTGCAGGAGGCGCTGCCGGAGCTGAGCGAGCGGGCGGCGGGCGCCGAGGCGGCGGGCGAGCTGCAGTTCTGGCTGGTGCTGGCGCTGGCGCTGCTGTCGGCGCTGTTGGTGCTGAGCGTGGCGCTGGCCGTGGCCTGCGCAGGCTGCGGCGGGCCGGGCCGCCCGCCGTGCTGCGCTGCCTGGGCGCGCAGCGCTTGTCGCTGGCCGGCGCCGCCTTCCCGGCCGACTTCTGCGAGGGCACCTTGCCCTACTCCTACAACCTGTGCGTGGCTGCACCGCCCCGCGCCAACCCCGAGGCCGCTTGGCCGCCGCCGCCGCTGCCCATCGTGCCCGCGGAGGAGCTTGTGGCCGGGGGGCCCTTGCAAGAAGGGCCGAGCCCGAGCAGCAGCGCAGTCCCGGGAGAGCCGCCCCCGGCGACCCGACTCACTGCAGGTCTTGTAAGCCCGCATTACCCTTTCTCTCTTGAATTCTTTTCCTTACTCATGCTGGCGGCAAGGCTCTTGTGTTTTTGTTTTTTCCACTCCTCGGGCTATAATGCTGTCTGTGTTTTCATGGAAACGCCGTGAAATAATCAGAGACGGCGGCGTTCTTTAGGTTGGGTGCGGAAGTTTGCCTTCCCGATAATTTTTCTCGAAGCTGTGTATTTGAACCTTGAAATAGGTGGACAAAATCCCCTTTGGCTAGTGTTGTTTCGGTGTTGGACGTCCACAAAGGAAAGTTGCATGTTGCTGGTATGATATGAAAGTTACCACCTCATTGTTGTGTCCTTCCCCATCTTTTGAGGGAGACTTTCTCCAGAAAACGCTTACACTGCTGAGTCGGGTTAACTCAGGATCTCAAAAAGCTCTACACGGGAGCAATAAATCGTTAGGGTAAGCACTGTAGAGCCTTTCGTAAATAAGCTTTTAAGGAAAAATTCCTGACTCGTGGCTTGAGAATGGAGAGTGGGAGCAATAAATCGTTAGGGTAAGCACTGTAGAGCCTTTCGTAAATAAGCTTTTAAGGAAAAATTCCTGACTCGTGGCTTGAGAATGGAGAGTAATGCAGACTTATTCAGAGCTGTCTCCAATGAGCAGGTTCAAAGTAGCAGGGACCGTCACTGTACTGCTGGATTCGTGAGCAATGCGACTGTTCATGAGTACTTTCCCTACTCCAAAACACTGTTTTTATCTGCTGAAAGGTTGAGGAGAAAGTTCTTCAAGCACGAGTGGTACAAAACCTTTGCAGTCGGTGGAGGAGTTTCTGCTTCGGACAGTAAAACTTGTGCTACTCCACATGTGCTACTACACATGTGATATTAACAGACGTTTATATGCATGCTATATCACCACGATAAAAACATTTTCCTATGCCGTAGAAATAACAACAGGGGGCGCGTTGCTTCTGCTTGGTCGTCATAAGCTGGATGATTAAACCGTAGGTCGGCTGGACGAAAAGCGAGATGTCCGTGGAGACTGTGTCCTCCCCGCGAGCTTCCCGTGGGCGAGGCAGGGCGGGCATCTCTCTCAGCGCTCGGTGCGTGCAGTGCCGGGAGGAGGCTGCGGGCGCCGCTGTTGCCCGAGAGGAGCGAGAGGAAGGTCGGAGCGCTGCAGCCCCGCCCGCTGCGGCCCGGCTCGATCGCTGGATCGCTGGATTCCTGGATCGGGAAGCGGTCTGTTTCCGATCGTCCCGGCGGTGCGGATCCGAGATACAGCGAGGCGGAGGGGCGGGCGGCAGAGGCCGGGA